GTCTCAGCAACCAGGAAAGCTGGGAGGCTGAAACTTTAGATACATGTTCCAACCCCGTGTGTCATCTTCTCGCTTTAAGATCTCTCCCCATACGCGCCTAGACCCCGTGTACTGAACTCCCAAAGAAATATATTGGCGGGAAACGATTTCGCGAATCAGGCTAAGTAGAAAGCTGAAACTTTGCAGGGATATTCTCTATGTAAGCGCGAGATAAAAATTTTAAACTCAGCTCTCTAGCTCCCAAACCACAGCCTCAAGCAGCTACTCAACTCAAAAATCGTTAGCAACTCGGGCCTGAATCGCAATTGCATATGCGAATGAAAATGGATTTTTTGACAAACGACCGCTCAAGCAATACTTTCACTTTTTAGTGAACTGAAAATTTGGCATTTTTTCAAAAAATTTGCATTTGTCATTTTTTCAAAAAGCGAGCATTTACCGAAAAAACGACCGGACTTCATGCAAAAAACCGATAATCATGCACCTGGTTGTCCGTGCGGCTCTATAATGCACAACCTTCATTCCAACTGACGCCCTTTCTCCTGCATGCCGGAAGGGGCCAAAGCACGGCCAATATGAGCCCAAATGTTAGGCTATAACGTAAGGATCATTCTTGCTAATAGCGATTTGCAGGTTTAGTGCAAAAACGCATGATCGCACTGCAGAGCCTGGTGCGTCCCAGCCTGGGTTATTGCATTCCAGCTTGGGTTACAATATTTCGTGCTGTAATGAGATCGCTCGAAAATCCAGCAGCTAGAAATCTGTGAATATACTGATCCTCGAAGTACGGGAAGTTAATTGTTTATGCAGTATTTGGACAGCGGACATTTCGAAATTTCAGCTTTCCAAGTTTTCTTGTTTTTGAATGTGCAATTTTCCTGTCAAAAATTTTCACGAGACTGTACGTGACAAACACGTAAGCCCGGGGACTGATTTTGATAAATTTATGTCGTACATGGGCTGGGGGCATTCCCTGAAAATCTCAGCCTTCCGGCTTTCCTGATTC